CGGTGTAGTGATGTTGTTTACATGACAACACTGTGCATCTCTTCTCTTTATACCACTGGAAGAGATGTTTTTGAAACAGCCACATAGCTACACATAGTCAAAAGGGAGAATTTTCTGTTGTGTTATTAAACAGGGCGAGGACAGATAACAGTGGAGTGGATCCTTGAGGTGAAACTATACGCACAACGAAAGCCTACAGCATAAAGACACTCCATATGCAAGCATGATTTCTTTTTTTGCTTTTAATGTGGTTTCCCCTATTTTTCATTGGACATGAGATTACATAAGGCCAAATCAGCAGAGCAAGATGGTTCTTGTCTATAGAATGGTGCCTTATGGTTTGCAAATCCACCGGTTGGGAAATAACTTCATAGTGTGAGGTCTGCCTAAATGAACCACGCTGAGTAATGCACAAGGAGATGTAATGAAGTGGATTTATGAGCAGTGATGGCAAGATTACAGAAGGTCTTTACGAGTGCTGATCTGGGTAATGGTCTATGTCTGTTGAAGATTTCAGAGCTGGAGGATTTGTCACATCCACCTCATAAACAAAGTGGACAACCTGATGTTATGTTTTCCACTCCGTTGGATCAGATTGTCATACAGTTGCAGAATGCTTGTGGGATCAAAGCAACAACCATTAATGTTGCTCAGAAGAAATGGCATGCAGAAAATGGAGCTGGGCATTTACAAAATGCGTGTAGTGCCGTCTGCCACATATAGCAGTCATTCTTACAGACAGGAGCTCCAAGTGCACAGTGCGTCTTCGTGTAGAACAAACTAAAAATAACACTCTCTTGTCTCACTGGGAAAATTAGGTGTTTAATAAATCTGCTGAACTACATCTCCTGACAAGCTACAATTAAAGGACTCAGCAAAACACATCAGCTATTCACTTCTTGGACATTTAAACATTTAACGTGCACCTTGGAGTCATATCCATCAAGTGTTGAGTTTGACAAAGCAGACAGCCTCCCTGCCCCTCCCCAAGACACGCACGCACGGCATTACCGCGCACACACATTTAAAGTTGTGTTTGGATATGTTTAGAATGTGTGTGATGAAATGGCACCAGCTGTGTACACTGGAGAGATGCACAAGGCCCCCTGGTTAAGAGAGTTAACCCCTTCCCTCCCGCTGGAGCTTAAGTGACAGCAAAGACAAAAGAAACCTGACGTACTATGCTTTGGACAAAAGAGGTTATTGCCCAGGGGTTAGCTAATGTGAAGCTACATTAATTCACTTCCTCCAGACCTTAAAATCTGTGTTGTTCCTGGTTTCCTTACATATGCATGTGTCAGTAGAGCTCATATAAACTAAGTAGTTCATGGCCTACGGCCCATTTCCCCCCGCTCAGTAAAATCCTTTAAGAAGTGCATCATTTTGGGTCTTGAAGAACTTTCTAATCAGGGAATAACAGCAGAGCTAGTCTGTCATATTATAGCTTCTGGATGATAAAATACAAAGCCGACAATAAACAAATTATCCAGAGTCCTTTATCAATATGTGGTCGAAAAACAACAAAATAAAGCATGTGTAGCTAAAGACGATTTGTCATCAAGATCATTTCTCAGAAAAGACTTATTATGCTGCACATAAGGCTGTAATCCTTAACAACTGAGTCCAAGTTGATTTGGCACTACCTGTTGTTAATAGTCTGTGGTTTCATGCAACAGCAAACACAGCATGTGCATCTAAAAATCAGTGTAAAGTGCAACCGCCAAACTATTAACCCTGTCTTAATCAGTAATCAGTTTGTTACCTTTGCAAGTTAATTGGTTGGTGAAACATGTCTGTAGTTTGGATTTTTGAATATATAAATTGTTAAAATGCTGACAACATTATTAAAAAAAAAAAAGCTTACTCACAAATTTCTGTGTTTAATTATAGTTTGCCCTTTCCTTTTAAAATGCTTCATTAAGCACAACTGTTGTATGTCTCTTAACAGCACTACACAGCAACACAGCAGAGATCCTGCAAGACTCCCCCCACCCCTTTTGTAGCTTTTGTCATGTACAAAGGCTATGGGATCTCATAGCAATGTGTTTATCTACATCCCTCTGCTATACTGCCATTAAAATACTCCAATGTATGGTCAATTCTCAACTGCAATGAATTATAATGTCTCGGCGGTGCTGGTATTAGTTTTCCAAATAAACCTTCAGTGTTAGCACCAGTGCAGGTGAGGAGTTTGTATTAACATCTGTTGGTGATTTCTTGGCGCCTGGAGGTAATGAAAGCCCACACTAAATGGATACTGTATCTGAAACATTATTAAACCTTTAGGAAAAAAAGACCAGATGGCAATAAATATGGCTATAACAGAGGGTCTCTTTCAAGAAACCATTAAAGTCAATCACGTTTGACTTTTACAAATACCAAAACTAGTTAAATCCAAACAGCTCTTTGTCTTTGGTTTATGTTGTGCCTGACTGAGGAGCTTGCCTAGAGAAAACAAGCAGCCTTAACCATGTTGCATCACTGAAATCTCTTTGAATAATAAATTAGACAAATGAGATATAAGTGCATATATATGTATGAGCTCATACACAGATTTAAAGTTTATCAAACTTCAAAAGGGAACTTTTATAAATTTTACCGACTACAACCAGGTGTTGTTAGAAGAATCCAAAGAGCCAGGAAAACCAATAGTCATTATCAGATAAATTGAAAACAACGCTACCTGAAGTAACAACCAATCAGTAAAAGTAGGAGCCTTGGTGTTTTTGCCCTTGAGCATACCTGTTCCGTGTTCACCCTCGAGTCAAGGTAGTTTAAGAGAAATAGACCCCACTGTGACAGCCTCGTCACTCACCCTGCACACGCTGTAGTCAATGTTTATAACCCACAGAAAAAAGCCTTTACAATTTCAGTTTCAATAGAGAAACCGTGTTTAATTTTTCCGAACTGCAACGAGGGAATTTTTCTCACAAAATAGATTTTATATGAGAATTATTCAGCTTTGTGAAGTTGTGGCATGTTTCTCTTCAGCACCTTCATCTCTGTGCCAAAAAAAGGGAAAGAAATGGCAGCTTCATTAGTCATGACTGCAGCACCTAATTAAGTTTGTGCCACTCGTTTGGATTTTTCTGTAAATTTAAAAGAATCTGTGATGTTTGAAAGTGCCTCTGGGCCCTTCTGTCTCTCTTGTCATTAAAATTGAACATTTCCTGCGCCAGCATTTTGAGTGGGTATTGCCTGTTTTCAAATCAAAACTGTAAATCTAGTGAAAGTTTGGCTGCTCGCAAAAGGTGCTGTGACAGCTTATAAATAGATTAAAGAAGTAATGCTTCAGCTCTGTGACTTGTAAGCATGCCACATCTTTTAGATGACTAACCGCTCTGCATTGTGCTACCTTTCAGCAAGCTGATTCAAATAAATTGGAGGCTTATTTGAAAGATGCATGCAAAAGAGCCTATTTGTTCACAGTGGAAAGACATTGTAATTAGCATGAAATGCATGCTTTGTACTCTCTCTCTCTCTCTCTTCCTCTTTCCAACGTAACTGGTGGAGATACTGGATAAGCACCTTCTCACCACCCTCTCTCTCACTCTATGCCTCCTTTTGCATTGTGGCCAATTACTGTTACAGATGGAAAATTTCACTTGACCCGGGGATTTTATGAGCAGGAATAAAATCGCACTTCAACTTTTACACCAATTCAAAGCAATGTGGTTAAAGTTTCTTGAGGCTGATGAAGACATGATGAAATTGGGCACATATGACAACTTGGCCAAATGACAAAGAGCTGATGAAACACTGAGACAAACCTGGTAACTGTTTTAAGCAGCATCAGATTGCAAACAGAGCTGCATTACGGGGCTGAATAATTTGAGAGGGGGGGGTAGTGTGTCGTGTCTGTGTGTGTTTGGGGTGGGGGGGGTGGGGGGTTATCATTGTTTAAACTTCATAAAAAACTGTTATTTTTGACTGCCACAATGATGTTCTCTCCTGCTGTTATACAAGAGAGTCAAGTTAGTGACTGATCACAGGCCTAACAGTGCGCGTGTTACATCACTGACAAAACATTACAAATCATCAACTGTGTTTTACATAACCTCATAAGCTCTAGTTGCAAGAGTTATTAAACTTCAGCTTTGTTCTTATTCACAGCTCGGACACGGTGGCGTTTGTACACAAATGCGAGGAAGCGAACAGATCAACATGTAAACAATGCAAATACATCATGCAACCTGGCAGTGGGCAGATAAAACTGTAGTGCACAGTATGACAGTCAAGAGTTTAACTGATGCCATGGGTAAGATAAGTGCACAAAACGGCGCAGCGCTGACAATGAATAGATTCATACGGAACAGATAGCGAGCTGTCCATTCCTCTTTCTGCTTGTGCATGCTTTTTTTCCCCTGAAATGTTAATGAGGAATATGATACTTGGAGCTCATTCTAAGAACTGCTTGCAAATGCAGTGAACAACATGAACTGAAGGCGGTTTGAAAATGAGGTTAAATACACAGTAGTTAACCAAAAGACCAACAACCATTTCTTTATCGTGTTGTCATTTTATTTAACTGCGTGACGTGGACGGTCATGAAGAAGAGCAGGTACCTGACAGCCTACATCTTTTTTTTTTTTTTAAATCACATTTGAACTGTAATGACAGGATGTTGAGAAACACGGAACCCTAAAGGCAACAGCGCCCATGACTGTGGAGCACATCAGTCTGGTGAGAGTTTAGCAGTGCGACGAGGCAGGTTTGAGCTGGACAAAAAGTAACACTGTGCCGCTACACTTGTCCTGTGCTCCCGTTTCCTTTCCTAATGAACAACAACAAAGTTTGCGGCAAGAGAGGAAAGTACTGATTAGGCGGAAAGAGAACTCTGATTCAAGGAAGGAGGAAGTGAGTAAGGGGAATTCTAATTAAATCAACTTAATATCGGTAAGAGTTTCAATAATTAAGCTAAAAACAGTGCACTAGTGGTTCCAGTCCCAACGTGATCGCACAACACAACACTACGGCGCGAAACGGGAAGGATTTCTCACCTTATTGAAGTTGTAGTAGCCCAAACAGTGGGCAAAATCCAGGTTTGGTGGATCTCCCGGAATAGAATTTCCACCGGCAGTCGGATAAAATCTTACATCCATGGTGTGTGACGGAGCCGCGCAGCTGTAGTTGTAGCCTGCTCTGCACGGAGCTCAATTTGTTTCTGCCGTTTACAATCCAAGCGCACAGATAGATGGAGAAAGAAAGGCGGCGAAACTGACCCAAGCTTTGTTGGGTTAAACGAGATATTACGGTAAGAGAAAGGGGGGACAGGTAAAGTTTGGATATTCCTCTTTTTACACCTTACACCAGTCGCTTCATTTCTGTGGAAATCCACATGAACGCTGGACTGAGCCCAGGAAGCTGTCCCTCAAAGAGCAGCAGACGCTGTGTGCCCATGCATTTACACACAGCTGCTGCTGTATACAAAGAAGCCACGAGACCGGCGAGTGAGCGTGGGTCCACCTCCTTTTTCCTCCCTCAGACGCAGAGAGGGGGAAGGAAAGGGAAAAATGAAAACTCTAGGAAAGTGGTAATAAATACCACGAAGTAAAGTCCGCGCGTCAGGATAGTGCTCAAAAACGTGCCCGCGTCCTCCGCCGTGTTTCGCAGAAGTTTATTTTTCCAACTTGTAAAACTAGTTGGTGAAGCAGTTTGAGGAAGGAGCAACTAGCTGGCCGCTCGAGCCCATCTGCTAAACACAGGTTTTGTACAACAAGCTGAACAACACTCCACAGATGGTGCAATTAGTGAATGTGATGTACTACACTGAGTATCTCCGTTCAGCCTTCGGCTCTGCCTGTCGTAGTGATGAACAAGGCAAAATGTGTGAACAAGCCAGCCACTCCCCAAACACACTAAGCCACTCCCATGAAAACACTGCATTTAAGTCCATGTGACATGTTGGCATATGATAATTAATCATAATTATGAGTCTGTATGTGTATATTTTCTTAGCATATACCTTTTTATGCCCTTTTAAACGGTGACTTTCATAATGAATGGCAGGTTACATCCAAATGTAATTTTACATCTTACTCTGTTTTTACTCTGCATTACTCTGCCAAAGCCAACAGGTACGATAGCTCCTGCAGTTTTTCTCCCGTTTGTTTTTCCTTAATTCTGCGAATTTTAACCTTCAGTTCAGTTTTTGACTATGAAGCTTTTACGAGCCACGGTGATTTTCTTCCCACTGCTACTGTATTTGATGTTAATGCATATTTTATAAACGTTTCTGTCTGTGGCAATTTCTCACATATGTTTTCAGAACTAACTGAGGTGTTTTTGATTTTCAAGTCATATTGGTACTGGTCACAGGGCACCGAACAATATACATAAGTAGACAAAAATGATACACCAGGTCGATATTAATCCATAGTTCAATGATTGAAGAAAACTTTACCTTTCCTAAGCTGGAAGCTTGCAAAAAGAGATGAAAAAATATAATCAAAATATACTTTTTTCTGGTTGGTAACCTCTACACAAAATATTATAGCAATAGCAGAAGGTTCTGTGGATTCAAAACATCTAACAAGGTTTTAAAGGGCTAAACTGTTCAACACTATATATGAAGTTCGATAGCTTTACTTTAGACAAGTAAAGATCTTAAAACTGGTTAGTATTATGGTATAAACAACTGCTTTTTGCTGTCAGTAGTGAAGTGTCTTTTCAACTGGTTAAATTCCCATGGTAAGTTAAGTTGAACTAGTTGGAATTTTTGGTTTAAAATTGGCTGGAAGCACCATATTTTCACTAATCTTTTATTTACAGCATGTTTTAAGTGCAGTACAGAGTCTCCGCTGGGCAAATATGTTTTAAAAGTGCAGGTTGTGAAATCACAACTTACTAGCATTACAAGTGAAGCACAGCTGTAAAGTTACAACAGTGCAAACTGTCCATTGCATTGTCCATGGAAAGTGCATGTTTTCAGCTGGTAATGCAGAAAATGTATACATTTTTCAATTTTGTTTGTTTGTTTGTTTGTTTTACTTGATTCTAATCTTCTGCTCATTCTCTTTTACATTGCTGAATACACAGCAGAGAGCAGAGAACACACAGCAATACAATTTAATCTGTAAAATGAATTTCACTCTAATCTGCTGACAAACTAAAGAGATTTCCACATCTCCTTTATTATGTTACGTGACAGCAACCTTTTAATGTTTAAATGGCTCCAGTTTGGATGGATCCACACAAAGCTCTAATGTGTAGTCATCATGTTAGAAACAAACAGCAGTACAAAGCGCTGGCTCGGGGTTCAAATAATTAATTTGAAATAATCTCTTATGTTATTTTCAACAGCATTACATTTTATTGTTCGACATATTTATGCTCTTTATAGATTTTTATGGCTATTTTCATCTTTTCTGGTAACATTTGTCTGAGAACTTGAAGTAGGCTATGCTCGTAGGGATCGTTTGTGCATGCAATGCCCCTTTTTATGTGAGTGTATACAGAGCATGAAACAGAAAGCTTTGCTTAACAGAGAATGTTGATAACCACCATCAGTTTTGTCAAGTCAGCTAACGCAAAGAATTCCTGACTGTGTTGAACTTCCCACCCAATATACCATCTGGTGTGGGCTAGCCCACCCACAAAGCTTTTTGCTCACTCAATACACACCAAATCAAAACTTACAAAAAGTATTTTTTGTTAGTTTGTTTTGTTCACCTAGTGGAAATAATTAATAACAATAATAATACACAAAACAGGAGTACCATTTCTAACTTCTTACTGAGTGGGAAGCCCACAGGCCAGCTCCAAAATCTCCTGCTGTACACCCTTTTAACGTCGTCATAGGTACATATGCATATGTTTAATAAGCCCGCTTGTAAAAACTGATGACTCAACATGTTGTTTATGTTATATTTTTATTTTTCTGTCTCAATTTAAGCATAGGTCTGGTTTACAAGTAGCTTTTGCGATGCTAAGATGTGTTGTGACACTCTCTCTTGCTCTCCCTTGGTTAAGCTAGCACTTTTAACATAGCGTAGATCTTTACTGACATGCTTTGGTGGGAGAAAAAGAGCTTCTGTGTCTTTATTTGCATTTCTGATTTGGTGCAGGGAACTATAAGAGTGCAGAGTATTGTTTGCATTTACTAGCTTTTCAATTAGATGTGTGGGAAGTGTTGAATTATTATTAATATTCTTATATATTTGAATAAGCAGCATAATGCACTCTTTAAGTAATGAAACAAATTTCTCTGAAAGATGCCTATATTTACATGTGAGCTAAAGGGTAAGTAATTTAGTAAACAAATTATATTATATGTTTCAATGAATATGAATTTTATCTGTATTGTCTTGTTTTTATTGTCAGTGTTTTAAGTGTTAAGGTTGTTTTTACAGATTTTGGAGAGTCTTTCTCTGCAATATAATTTTCAGGTTTCTTCAGCCTGTAGAAACTATCCTACAGCTGCTACATATGGACTAGAACAAAGTAGTTTTCTGAATATTACTTTAACATCATGTAAGATTGTTTATTATGTTTATTTTTTTCCCATGCAGAAAGACACTATTCCCAGACAGAGAACCCAGTATTTGAACGGGGACTCAAACCAGCAACTTGAAGGTTACTAGTTGGCTGCTCTGACCTGTTCAAGTTGCCCATCTATTATTTCTAACACAGGATGCAAGAAATCCACCCTGAACGTAAGTTACCAAATTTTCTTGCCAGTGATTTCTTAAAGTCTGCACAGTTACAAAAAAGTAAATATTTTAATAAAAATAAAGATTCACGGTTAGGGTTTTTGATTTGAGGAAGGGTTTTCTTGGTTCTGGCTTCTGTCAAGCTTCACTTAACCATACTGACATAATGAATGAGTCTACACATGAATAAATGCACAGCCTGAAACTCATTATGTCCATTGTATTCACAAATTAATAAAAAAGACAAAATCATTTGTCTGATTTGAGATTGATAAACTAACCAGTAGCTGAAACTAATTATCACACACAGCTTCTGTCAGTGAGATTAAAGAGGGGACTGCCATTCTTCCAATGTCACCTTCAAACATAAAGACTAATATATAATTAACAACTAATCACTGATAAGAAGAAATACTAAAGAGCAAAAAAAATAACAATTATTCTACCAAACATCCATCTGAATTTGTGTGTACACATACGTGCACCTTTACTCTTTTGTTTTTGTTTTAATCAAAGAAAGCAACATTTTTATTGAAGTTGATTATTGCAGTGATGATTCAACCAGGCACATACGTATGTATCCCTGGCCACTTTACACTATCTTGTCCACTTCACCGCTTTGTTGCGTTGCTCTACTCGAAACACTTACTCTGTCCTTGCAGTCTGTGCACTATCTACCAGCACACACTTCTCAGTTTCTAAGTAAGAAACAAGACAAGACTGTGCAAGTGTTACTTTTAGGATGGTGCAGGAAGCTGTTATTTCCAGCTAGAAAATCAAAGACATTTTTGAGCAGTACCTCATAGCAGTGGGAGGGAGTATGTGTATGTAAGGAATCCATAGTTTACACCTGTGAAAAATTCTTTGGAGAAGAAGACCATGCTTTATACATTAGTAAAACAAAAATGTTATAGGAATCTGAATTTACAACTAAAGAGAGGGTTAAAGTGAAACTTTAGGGACTTACTGCTCACTAGAACCCTAGTTGTGCAGTAAGGACATAAAAAGTTATTCAGCTGTCACAGTCATCTCTGAACTGACAAAAGAAGACATCAGAATCAAGCAGAGAATTAATCCTCCATGTGAATACATAAGCCAGATTTTGTCGTTATGTCATATTTGTCTGCAAGTGTCAGGTTAGCTTTATTTCCCATTAAATCTCTGCTTTGAAGTGTGTCATTTTTTTGTCTCTTTTTTTTCTTGGATTCTCTAAATGAACACGGTCTACTTAATCACTGTCTCGTTAATAGTGTCGATTACAATAACACAACTTTTTGTTTTATACATTTTCTTTCGGTGCTTTTTCAGTTATGTTCAGTTGTCCGTCGATGTAAAATAGAATATTACATGAGACATGTTAAACTCTGCAGCTTGCTACGGCACATTATTAATAATTATTCCTGCACGTCACACGCTAGTTAAGAAAATAGTGAACACAAAATAGCTTTTTTCCACTTTCTGTCATCTATATTATACTGCATTTCTTTACATATTCAGATAACATTATATAATTATATATAATTTGTCTTTCCTAGATAGGATGCATTTGAGGAGCTGTTATGAAACAGAGAAAAATCCTATGCAAGTGGGATGCGTGTTGGCATGTACTATATGCAAGCTTAATCAATGACATACAGTGCTAAACTCTGCTGTGCTGCATTGGAGGAGATAATCCTCATTTGAACGCTCTCCAATGCTTGCTTAGAGATGGTCAACAATCCATGATAGTCGCCAGGAAATCTACTTTGTAATTATGGACACATTGATGCATATGCAAACCATTTTTTCGTCATGTTCTCGTTTGATAGTGGCTCTTGCATGCATAACGAAGCAATGCCTTCACATGCAACACACGCTGATACGCCCACCAATCAAATCTCATTCACTCATGCACATACGGGCACATAAGAAAAACCCACGCAGTCTCCCACACACCACATATCAGATAAGCAAGCTGCACATTCCCAATTCAGCCTGGTTGCTGTTGTTATTTATTCCTGTTTTTAATGTTGTTTGGCTGTGCAGCCAGGCAGTGGAATTAATTTCCTTTCTGATGGTTGAGTATCAGTGTCTCAGCCAGATGAATTATGCTTTTCTACTATATGCGATTTCCTCTCAGCCTGGCAACACTGGAACCATTTGGTAACGT